GTGCATATACACACGTGCCTGTGTGCATACACACACACACACACACACACACACACACACACACACGCACGCACTTTAGGAATGGCTACTAGAGCAGGAGGTCCCTGACATTGTCAGGTGTAATTGTCATCTACTTACTTTATCATACCCTAAGTCCTTAACTTTGACATACGGTGCCGTGACCATCCAGGAATGAATGGCAATCTCTGCCACACAGGAGCCCAGATTCAGTCATTATTTTTACAGAATAAATAATTGTCATCAAAGCACAGGGACTTCCTTAATTAACAAATCCTTAACTTTCACAATAGAATTACAGATAGGATTCTGGCTAATGAACAGTGAGGTGGAGTCCTTCAGGGAAATTAGCTTAAACTCCTTCCTCGGTGGAAGCATTTAGAATAAATCAAACTGGGTTAATCAAATGTTGCCTAATTATGGACTTTAGGGAATCCGCTGGAATGAAAAGATAGGAATTACCTGAAATTGGCACACCAGTTGTTAGTGTAGAAATAGTTTAGATAATTAGTATGAACTGCTGAGTGTTTAAAGTACTATTTGTATACTCCAATAAACTCATGGGTATTTAATTTCTCCAGATAATTAATCTGGCAGGCTGAAAAACCTTTCTAAGTGTTCCAAATGTAGCAGGTGGCTGGGCCAACTGGAGAGAAGTTCAAAGGTGAAAGATAATGGAGGGGAAGAGGAGAGGAGGCTCCTCTACTCAGGTACCTGTTTTACCGCAGACATCATCGCGGCATACCATGCCCCTCACACTTCTTTGGCTTCTTTGCCTCTTGGCTCAAATTGAGGAGCAGAAGCCTGCAGGAGTTAGAACACCAAACGAGACAGGGAGGTTCCAGGCTGACCTTGGGAAAGGAAGACCAGCCTATGACCTCCTTGGAAACCCACAGGGCACCCCTTTGGCTATGCCTCATCCCTGCCTTCCCTCAGCCACAGGGAACCCCCGCCCCCCAGACCCAGACTTGCTGCCACTCACTGTCTGGAACAAAGTCCTTTTGCTGGGCTTCTGGGATAGAATTCCAGATTTTTTTGTGGCTTTCTACAAATGCTGAGAGAAACACAATGTTGGGGGGTCTCACTTCAAGCTCAGCAGGTCCAACACTAAGTTCTCCTTTCTGCAAAGCCTGTTCCTTCTACATCCCTTCAGATCTGTCCACCAAGATACATCAATTCTCCCTTTCATCCAGGAAAGGGTGAAGGGGACCCCTTGAAGCTTGTAGGCACTAGGCCAGTGCCTTCCCTTGCCTCTGATTGCTCCTCCTCGGTTCTGTCTAGGATGCCTTCTCTGCCCCCTCTTGTCTGTCATCTGGGCCTTCTCCATCAATGTTTGGGGCATTGCTAACCACAGACAGGGATACAAGGATGCACAGAGCATTTTTCTGTGTTGATGGGCATTCACCACCACACATGGGGCCCCATGCCAATTCACAGAAGCTGGGAAGAACAGACAGCTAGGGCAGCTGGAGAAGTCACAAGTTCCCTTAAAAGAGAATCAAGTCACATGGTCAAGCACTCCTGATACTGGAGTATTTATCTCACCATGTAGCTCAGGCTGGCCTCAAACTCTTCATTCTTCCGCCTCAGCCTCCAGAGTGCTGATATTACAGGCAGTACCACCACTTCTCACCTGGAGCAATACTTTCACATTGAAACCACAGTTAAGGACAAAGCACTGAAGTCAGGAGATTCGCATCTCTTTCTGGCTGTAAGATCTTAGCGAGGCCTGCATGGCTCTCATCTATAAGATGGAGATGGTGTTATATCACAGTGCTGTGACAGTCAAATAAATTAATCCACTTAGTAAGTGTTATGATTACACATTTGGTCTCTCCAACACTCACATTACAATTCAGTAGTATTAACAGAGTTGAATTAGGAGGCAATAAGGTCATCAGGCCCCACTCTCAGAAATGAAATTTCTTATAAAAGGAGTGTGTAAGAACCCTCAAGGAAGTGCCATCTCTAAGGATTGGACCCCCACCAGACACCAGCTCTGTCTGCTGGGTCCCTGGCCTTGGATGTCTCATTCTTCAGAACTATGAGAATACATTTCTGTTGATTATAAATCACCTAAGGTATTTTGTTATAGTAGTGATAACAGACTAAGACAATGCTTAGCACAGTGTCTGACACATACAATAGGCAGTAATTTTCAGCTTCTATTCATATTCGCTCTGCTGACAACTTTCTTGAGATAAGATCGCTCATTCATTCACTCAAGTGTGTGAATGAATTAATGGGACACAGAGGCCCATTACCCTGACCTACGGAGCAGCCTTGCAGCCTGGCATGGGAGACAAAGAGTGCCTAACATCTGAATGTGCAGAGCATTCATGGACCTAAGGGCTGCTGGCTTCCTAATTCTGCTGGAGAGGCAGGCACTGCCTCCCAGGGGAGGCGTAACGTAGATCTCAAAGGCCTGAAGGTACAAAGTCAGAAGTCTGGGTATCTTCTGATGAGGGGGCAGGGGGACTAAACATTTCCACATTAGACTCAAACTGACAGAAAATGGAGAGGCCAAGGAGCCAAATCATGAGCCACCTGGAGGAGGAGCTGGGCCTGATCCAGAGGTGCTGGGAGCTGCTCAAAGAGGAGTGGAGGAAGGACGTGCAGAGAAGCAGCAGCAACTCCAGTGCAGAGTGAAGGGGACAAACAGAGTAGGCCTGGCAGGTGAGCAGAGATAAAATCAGTGGAGCCTGGCCGTGGGCTCCTGGCCCTTCATCTGGCCCTCTATGTCCTTGGCACAAGGCAGCAAAACATTAACCTCCTCCAAAATCCTGTGGAGGTAGAAATAAACAGAAGATTTTCACAACTGTGATGTTTCCTTCTCAGAGTATAGCAGCCCTGAGGGCTATCAAAGAAGCTGGACACGACGGTGAGCTCACACTTCCAAAAGAAGACCAGAGGCCATTTGTACATTGTCTTAAAACCAGGTCGTTTATTGGTACACACACACCCACACTCACACCCACATACACTCACACATTCACTCGTGATGCACGGAGCCAATACAGTACTGAGAAGGGACCTGGTGAGACACAGAAGGCTGACGACGAGGACTTGGATCACTGGTAACTCTCCAAAGAAAAAAGATTGGCTATGAGGCAAGGGGTATACCAAGACAACTGCCTTCCATCCCTGGGTAGATCCCCCTTCTCCATGGCCTCCCTGCAATCCTTCTCAAGAACCCTGAATGCACTTGGCTCCCCCAGCGGTTGCCTAATGGACAAGACCAACCATGACAAGGTTACATTGTGAGAGGAGATGCCAGGGCTGACTCTCCCACATAGAGAGTCAGCACTCCTGAAGGAGTGCAGTGCTCAATCTTAAGGCTCTGGGCCATCTCCACTACTGAACCCACTACCTAGAAATGGGGGGAGGGGTAAGTCTTCTAATTCATCCTCTGCTCAGCAACTCTTCCTTCCCCCTTCCCAGCAGGGCAGAAACAATGAGGGAGAGCAAGGGCAAGTGGCTGCCTGCCCAGCCCAGGCACCAGCCCACTAGTCAAGCTCTGCGCTACTGAGAAGCAGCACAAGGAGCTGAGTCCTAACCCTGCCCCACACTCCATAACTCCTTCAGGTCAGGTGCACTGGTCCATTATCCCACCTGCATGCCTAGCCTGGCTCTGAACCAAGTAGTTGGGGTGCGGGTGGGGGGACAAATTGCTCGGGCTGCCTGTAAGATGGTACTATACTGCCCCTCTCCAGCAGACTACTCCAGGTGTTTTCTCTTTCCTCTCACTTGGATGAAGCCCTAGCCCCATCAGCTCACCCTGAATTGATGTCCCCAACACTTTCAGGCACAATGGGTGATGAAGAGAGATTTCTTAAGAATAAAATTCCTCCCAAACCAGGACCCACATCCTTCTGCCCCAGTTCCCTCCTGCTAGGGAAACCACTAAAGTGACAGCATTTCTGGGAGTAACAGTCCAGGCACATCTAAAGAACAGGCACGAGTGACAGCCTTCACCAACACCAAATTTCTGAAGCATGACTCACGGAAGGGGAAGCTATTTTCTTCCTGGCCAGTTGGAGGAAGGAAGTTTGATACTGCCTTTTTCCCAAACCTGATTCCCAGGCCAGTGTATATTCAGCTTACCCATCAGGCTGGTTCTTAGAGGGCTGGAACCACTAAAGAAGGGAGGTACCAGAGAAGAGCAAAGGAAGGGGGGCTGGGCCCGTCAGCAGTGTCCAGTCCAACTGTTCTTCCCTAGCAGGATCAGTGTCCCTGGGGCTTGGGCTAACATTCCCAGTGTCCTTGAGCTTATGGCTTCCAGGGGCCATCAGTTAGTTCTCCCTCTGTCTTGCCTGACTACCCCTCTCATCAGATAGAGGGCTGAAAGGTTCACCACCCTCACCCTGGGCAGGAAGCTCTGGGGTCCCTTTCTCATCCTGTCTGGGATTTGGCTTAAGCCAGCACCCAGAGTTTCTCCCTCAGTGTCCCCAGTCCTCCTTCTGGGTCTCACCATCCTGGCTGCGGACAATCGGGTTTTCTGCAGCCCTTCCAATGCCCAAGCAAGTCCCAGAAGCAGGAGCTTCAAGTTGTGGTGGGTTGGGAAGGGGGTGAGATGATGCTGGAGATCCCCAAACCAACTGTGAGGAGGGAGACTGCCAGAGTGGGCAGGGACCAGGAGGCAGAACAGGCCGGGCAGGGCGGAGTCTGAGAGGCCCCCTTGCAGGAGGGGCCGGTTCAGGCCTTGACCCAGGGTGGGGCCTGGTCCTGGTAGAGGGCACAGTCCAGACCAGGCTAGGTCCAGAGGAGGGAGCATGGTGCCACGCTGGGCTCCATCCCGCAGAATCCCAAGCACCAAGCACGGATGACCTGGGTACCTCCGGGACACGAGGAGACCCAGGCCACATCCACAAGAGACTTAGAAAGGACACGCAGTGGGACTGGGGAGAGTAGGATGCCCGGGGCCGGGGTGGGGGGCGGTGGGGGATAACTCTGAGATCCAGAACAACTGGACAGTCACAGAAGGACGAGACTGGGCGGCGTGGAAGAAGGGGAGCGAGCAGGAGGGGCCGGGGGCCGGCTGAGCCTGGGAACCCGGGAGATGCCAGGCAACCCAGGCCGTGGCTAGTCCCGGAAGGCGGAGAGCATGTGTCCGTAGAGATAGTGGGAGCGAGCTGAGAGAGAAGAGACATAGGCAGCCGTGAGCGTGGATCCCTCCGCTTCCCCGGACCCCCACGGCCGGACGCGAGGATCGGCAGCATGCTCCCTAGCGCAAGGCGCCCCAAGCCACGCGTGCGTGCGGGAAGGGAGCCGGCAGGGCAGGCAGGGCCGGGCAGGGCAAGCGGAGCCGGGCAGGGCAGGGCC